GAACAACGGCAATCTCGTTTTGGGTCCATTCGACGAATCTACGCCTTACTTGATGAATTCATCATGAATTCATGAATTCATGATGAATTCATCAAGTAAGGCGTAGATTCGTCGAATGGACCCAAAACGAGATTGCCGTTGTTCCCGATTTTCATAAGCGAATTTTGTTTAGCGATGAAGCGCACTTCTGGTTGAATGGCTACGTCAACAAACAAAACTGCCGCATTTGGAGCGAAGCTAATCCTCAAGTGTAGGTCGAAACACCGTTACATCCAGAAAAACTGACTGTTTGGTGCGCTGGTGGAATAATTGGTCCGTACTTCTTCAAAAACGATGATGGCCAGAACGTTACAGTCAATGGTGATCGGTATAGAGCTATAATTACTAATTCTTTCATTCCTGAATTGAATAACCATGATGTCCAGGAGATGTGGTTTCAACAAGACGGCGCAACTTGTCACACAGCTCGTGCCACAATCGATTTATTGAAAGACACGTTTGGTGACCGCCTAATTTCACATTTTGGACCTGTGAATTGGCCTCCAAGATCTTGTGATTTAATACCGCTAGACTACTTTCTGTGGGGCTATGTAAAGTCATTGGTCTATGCCGATAAGCCACAAACGTTTGACCATTGACGGCCACAAATGTTGTAAAAAGTCATCGAAAATTAGACGTCCAGATTGGACTACATCCGCGCCAGCCGTGGCGGTCATATGCCAGAAACCATATTTAAAATGTAATGCCACAAGATTATCTTTCGGATAAATAAAATTCATGCCAATCGAATAATCCATCGTTGTTTTATTGCAACTTAAAGATCTATACATCGAAAAAAAACACCCTTTAGTTCTCCAATAGGCTGGAAACCTAGAATTGTAGAAGAGCACGAGTGTATTGCCAGACAATTAGAGGAAAAAAATATATATCTACCAATCTGCAAAAACTTGCTATCATAAGATATATAAAAACCAAAAAAATAAATAAAAATTGAAAAAAAAATATTTTTAAGGAGGATATTGCCATTAATGACCCAATTTGTTATAGCAAATTTTGTTCTGCAAAATTTAGATTTTATTGCTTTTGGCTTTGCTAGATTTAGATTTAGAAGTATAGACTAATTTAGGCCAAAATAATGAAGTCTATTAAACTCAAAATTGTTCTATGGGAATGTGCAAGAAGTTGGAAACTCCCTTTTAGATAATCATAATTTTATGAGCAAATCTTACGCGCTAGCAGTTTTCTTCGATTGCTCATGTTTAAAATATTGAAATTATTTATATGACTACGATGAGGTATCTCAAAGGCAAAACCCATACCAGAGTTTTGTAATTGTTGAACTGATCTCCTTGTTTGCCCAGACAGATAATCTCCTTACTCCACATCGGAATAATCAAACAGCGAAACAACAAAAGTTTTGCAGAGAAATTACTTTTGTTTTGTATTTAAAAAGTTCTTTAATCTGTAAATGTTCTTAAAGCGTATAAAACCAGCCATGAGTTGCTTTTAATTTGGAAATCCATTGTAACATAGTTATCAATTTTGATACCTAATGTTTGTGTTGTATTATTATAATTTGTGTTGTATTATTATAACTATTTTCTATAAAAATAGAATAGTTTTTCTGGATGTAACGGTGTTTCGACCTACACTTGAGGATTAGCTTCGCTCCAAATGCGGCAGTTTTGTTTGTTGACGTAGCCATTCAACCAGAAGTGCGCTTCATCGCTAAACAAAATTCGCTTATGAAAATCGGGAACAACGGCAATCTCGTTTTGGGTCCATTCGACGAATCTACGCCTTACTTGATGAATTCATGATGAATTCATCAAGTAAGGCTGAGAATAAATCACTTGACAGCTATTAAATCGGTCGCCATCTTGAACAGTAATGCCAACTTAAAGTTCTATACATCGAAAAAAAACACCCATTATATCTCTTGTTAAGTATGATGCTACAGGGTCTTCTTTTTTCCTTGGTATTCGTGAATTTATATTTTTTCTTTCTAGTTTGACAAATTATTGTTAAATAAATTTATAAAGAAAACCTTGTGTATTTGTTTTCTTTATAAGGTTGCTATAAAAACAGTTTTAGTGTTCAAAAAACCGTTGATGCATCTGTTCCACCAATCGGACTAAACTACGTATTCGTATCCGTTTAAAAAGTGGGTCGCGTCAAAAATATCCACCCTCTTGGTGCCTACAGGCGTCTATTATAGTGGGTCGGGAAAAGTTTTTCTTAGTGAAAAGTAGGGTGGATTGTGGAGAATAAGAAAGTTTGTGGCGAATGCGCTACGGAGACTGACGACGTCTCGTCCCTGATAATAAATTCAGTTAGAGAAGTTTAGATTCTCGCTTTCAATGGTACGCTGATGAAACGTCGGCTTTAATTGCACTTCGAACTTGTTTTGTAGAGGGTGCAATGGCAAGGATAACATTTACGGAGTTTATTTAGTATTCTGACTCATTCGAGATCGTCCGTTTGCCAAAATCAGTAGATTAATAAAAATTAATTTGCAAAGTCCAGCATCCTGAACTCAACAGATTCTTTCGCAGAAGAAGTTTTAGAAGTCATAAAAGCAAATTAGGTTTATTAAATCTTGTTCAGAGCTTTCTGTCAGGAAGAACCCAAAGAGTATTTCGCAATCTAGAGGTGTTATATCCGGAGTTGCCCAAGGATCAATTACAGGACCTCTCCTTTATATTTATTATAGCTATAAAATAAAGTGAGCTGTTAGATATTGCAAACCAGGATGATACTGAATTACATATGACTTTTTCACCCTGAAACTATTTATTGACCATTGATATGATCAATGAAAACGCATTTAGTATTGCTAATTGGTCAAATAACCATTCTCTAGAGATAAATGGCAAAAAAACTAACTTTGGAACAAAGAAAGGTAATAAAAAAATAAAATAAAACAAGACTTTTTCATAAAAGTAGATAACGAAAGTATACGTCCCGTCCCAAAAGCTAGAAGAAACCTTATATTGACATTTGACAACTCTTTGAGATTTAAACCACACATAAACAATTGTGTTAAAACGACATGCATTAATCTGAAGCGAATATGTCAGGTACGCCAAGTTTTTTATAATACACTACAAGTCCTTTATTTAATCTGCGTCGTGAGGTTCAGACATAAGCGCGCGAGATACCTGGCCGAGAGCCCCACATTCTAACCTCTCAAGACCATAGAATAAAAACACCACAGACCACCGAACAAAACTCTGATGCAACAGATGTTGCAATAGCAAAGTTCCAATTTGCTTTCTCAGTGATAGTAAAGTTTACAGAACAATAAATATGTTGTTTCTCTCCGAGCGGAAGGGGCTTTAATGCTTTCGTGTATGTAAGTGGTTAAAAAAAAAGAGTTAGCAAAAACTAAAACAATAGTTCAAAAAGGTTACTTTATAAACTAACAGTAAATAATAAATATAATATAAAGTATAACAAATCAGCTAGGACTGTCCATATTACAACACTTATAATATTTTAAATATTACAAATTGTAATTTAATATAAAAGCTTAAATTGGGGAGTTGTTACTTAATTTTCTCTACGAAAATCCGAAGAAAATTCGTATTTGTGGACAGACTATGAGTGGAATCTTTCTGAGACACTATGTCCGGGATCTTTCTGTTTCTCTGTTGATAGCTAGCTGGTTATATGTGAACTAGTTTTGGGTTGCGAGCAAACTCTCAGTAAAGAAGCAACTCCGACGCCATTAACCCCAAAATCAGCAAGTTTATGTCGTTCGTAAAGTTAGAAGTGAAAATAGGAAAAAAACTATAGAAGGACTATTATAATAGGATGGTAGACCTACTATTCTGGTCTCGAATTATATGTAATACTTTTTAAGAAAATAATGAATCCAAGGATGGATTTTCACTAAGAGATGGAGAAATGATAAAAAAAAATAGGAACGGATGTTTTGTATCAGATTTGGAAAGCTGGTGCGGTAGAAATGGCTTTTACTCTTAAAATCTCGATCGAAACCTCTTACAAATGAAAGGACATTGATTTTCGACATCTTTAAAAATGCCGCTAAGCTAAATGATAAGCTAAATGACATCTGCCGCACAAAACCGTTGGACCTATTCAATCCGTTATATTTCCGTAAATTGTAACATTATCATAACCGTATCATTTACTAAAATAAGTTTTTCGTATTTAAGTGACAATTTTTTTTACTAGGTAATGAAATATTATCTTCTGGCTCGAATTCGAAATTAAAAAAAAAGTGGGACATAGTTTCGGCGTTTTAATTAGTATTTGAACTAAACTGTCTATTCTAATTAATTAACCATACTATATAGTAGTGAGAAATCTTTACATTTTCATATGTATTTCCTCAAATATATGTTGTAGTTCCTGAGTTTTTCTTGGGTTGAGGTTGTTCAATAATAGTTTTTATGTTTCATTCAACTTTCGATGAATAATCTAAAATACGTACAAATATTATATGAATTAAATATTTTATATAAAAATATTTATCCTTTTAGAATAATTTTCAATGAATTATAAAATATATAAATAGGTTCAAATATGAAATAATTGATTTTTCAAAGAAACGTCCACGGGCTACTGTAATACTTTTTACAAAACTTCCGGATTCCTCCTGCGAACTTGCTGACGTTTCGCCAATCATCCTATTGGCTTCTTCAGAGCTTGACTGAAACGTCAGCAAGTTCGACTCAGCAAAAACCGACGAAGGAGAGTAAAGCAGTTGATGCGGTTTTAGTATATTTATGTCCATTTATACGATTTTTTAAAAGTATCATTCTAATATATATTTTTGGAGAGTTTAAGCAAGAATATGTTTGGTTTCTTTAGTAAAATTGTTTATATAATTTAAATAATTTTATTTTTATTTTAAAACCTGCAGATTCGCTGTTATTAATATTACTTTTAGGGAAATGATTTTCAATTAAAATTTGTTTGTTGGATGTTTGATTGTTCAAAAAATTAATTACCATCACGACATTCTTACTTACCTCGGGCCGTTACGACCTGGTTAACGACCTTCGAACTTTGACCCTCGCCTATCCTGGTGGACGCGGTGACCCAAAACTGATATTCGATATGCTGCTGGACTCCTTTGACTTCGAAAACTGTGTTGTGCGCGGAGATAATTTGCTTCCCGTTGTCCACTTCTTGCCTTCCGTCGGTGCTTCGTCTGCAAATTCAGGAAGCGAATGAAAGTAACAACCGAATAAGAAACCTACGTTTCCGCATACCTGTAGAGGTTATATTTGGAAACGATGCCGTTGGGTTCATGGGGCGGTAACCACGACACTTTGATAGATTGCGGCGAACTTACCGCCACTTTAATATCTGCGGGAGCGCCGGGAACTAAACGTGGATATGGCAAGTTAAAATATAGCATAAAAGTCTGGACATTTGAAGCATCTTGTGCAAGCAAATTGTATTTATAAAATGGAACTCAACAACAAAAAACTTGTTGGCAACAGTTGGCAATTGTATGTTTAGTAAAAATATTTCAAAACTCTCAAAAGTCCACAGTGTCACAAACTTGCGCAAATTTCAACTAATGTACTTTTATTTTAAATTGGGATCTCCTATGAATAAAATAAAGGTGGGGGCAGTTTTGAAGCATCTTATTTGACAATAAGCCAGTAAAAGTTCAAAATATTCAATCGCAATAATTATCTGTGACAGTGTGTTTTCTTTTGAAGTTATTACGAAAAAGCCAATTAGTAAAAAAAATTAACAATTTTTTTAATTTATATTATTAGCAAAATAATTATAATAGTAAAATTAATGCCAAAGCCTCAAATTTTTAACTCATTTTAAGAAAATATACCTTTCCTGAAAAGCATACCTAAATATTTTCTTTTAGATGTTAAAAGTTTACTGAATTAATATTCATTCGCGGGAATAAGCAGAACATATTAACAATTGGTTCGTAGTGACATTGTACCACCATACCGACACTGCAACTAAAGACTTGGAAATTTTGAATTCCATAGAACAATCCTGGTGTCAAACTTCAAAAATCAACATTTTGAAAACCGATTCGAAGATGCGGAAACATCCCCGTTGAATTGCTGAAAGCAGGAGGGCCTGGTATGAGGGATAGAATAACTCAACTAATGCAAAACTGCTGCCACCAAATACGGAGTGGAAGAAGGCGCACCTAATATCTAGTTTTAAAAAAGGAAACAGAAGGCGTTCCAAATGCTATCGAGGCCTAAGTGGAAATAGTACAATGAGCCGACTTTTTAGTAAAGTCGTATATGATTAAATAAGGCAGAACATCGGCCACAGAGTCAACGAAGGTCGAAGCGGATTTACACCAAACCTTCTTAGTCGTATTTTCATATCTGAGAAATCGTGATCTCACGGATATTGTATAAATCCATCAACTTTAGCTTTGCATGTTTGTCTATCCATTGCTTCCATTAGTAAGTCTTGCAGTACCATATCCGTGATTTTCTTTACTTGGTCTATCCATCTAATAGGTTACTTGCCTCTTGGTCGTTTTCCTTCCACCTTTCCCTGTACTATCAGTTTTCCCATGTTGTCGCCATCTGGTCTTGTGGTGCGTCGAAAGTAATTTAAGATTCGCCGGCCACATACTGTGGACAGTATGTCTTTGATCTTCAGCTCCATAAAATCCGTAGCATACTTCGCCAACACCACATCTCACATCCCCACATCTTTCGTATGTTTTCATAGTCCAGGATTCCGCTCCGTACAGAAATATTGAGAATACAAAGGATTTTGACCAGCATGATTTTCATGTTTCTTGTGATGTGTCGATCTTTCCATATTCTGGTAAGATTGCTCATGGCTCCTCGTGCCATTGCTATTCGTCTTTTTATTTCCTTTTTGGACCCGCTCTGGTGACTTACTAGGGATCCCAGGTACACAAATTCATCTACATTTTCTCTGTTTGTGAGGTTCGGAAGTGTCAATCATCATGAGCTTAATCTGGCTGAGATTTATTTCCAGACCCATCATAGCACTTTCACTTTCCACTCTGTTCAACATCATTTCGGTCTCATCTCTAGCCAGCGGCGTTGTGTCATCTGCATATCGTAGGTTTGTCAATTTTTTACCACGTATTGACACTCCTTCCTCGAAATCGCTAGGGCGTTTCTGATTATGTGTTAACAAGCCTGGGGGACAATATGCATCCTTGTCGCACCCCCTTTTGTATATTGAAAGTATGTGATGATTCGTTATCTATTCTCAGTATGGTTTAATTTCTTTTGATATAGGTTCTTAATTAGACTTATTAAGTGTTCGCTACTCGCACTTCTCGGAGTATTTGCCACAAGCATTTCCATTCTATGCAGTCGAATGTTTTATAGTCAATAAAGCACAGTAGCATAGGGGAATTAAATTCTCTTGATTGTTCTATTAGTGGTCTAATATTGAAAATTTGGTCTGGTGTTGCTCTTCCTTTCACAAAGGCGGCTAAGTGACGCTGTAAGCGGCGGTCGATTATTCTTAGGAGAATTTTGCTCGCATGCGATGTGAAAAAGATTGGTCTATAGTTTTCAAATTTTTTGGTAGAACCTTTCTTATGTAAAGGGATAAATATGTACTTAATCCTGTCGGTTGCGCATGTTCTAGTGTTCCAGATCTTGTTGCAAATGTCCAATAGTATGTCTATCCACGGTTCCTACAGTATTTTCAGTATTTCGGCATTTATGTGATCTACTCTTGGTGACTATTTGTCTTCAGATGTTGTATGGCTTCTATCACTTCAGGCTTTAACATATTCGGCTCTGTTTCCTCTTCCTCGTATTGTTCTGAATATTCTCCTTCTAGATCTCGATTGTCACCGTAAAGTTCTTCGCAGTACTGATTCCATTAATTCAGATCTTTTTCTGTCTCCCAAAATATATTTTATTTTTATTATATTTTAGGTTTAAATTTTCTGGACAGCAAATTCACTTTCTGGAAAAAATCACTTGTTTGGATGGTATTCTGGTGCTCTTCAATCTCTTCGCATATCTTTTTGATACATTCATTTTTATTTTTTCGACATCTTCTCTGAATTTCTCGACTAAGGTGAGCATGCTTCAATTGATTTCCATTCTTGTTTGGAATATTTCTCCTTTTCTCAATAATCCTCAATGTCTCCTCTGTCATCCAGGGCTTGGTCTGCCCTGTTTTTTCCCTTGTTCTTTTGATGTTCATTGATTGTCCCTTCAATGCTACTTCTAAATGCTAGCCATTCCGCATTCGTTGTTCATGATATCTATTTTATTGCCGGCCAATTTTCTGTTTATTTCTGTTTTGAGTAGTTTTGTTTCATGCATGTTCAAACTGTTTTTCAATTTTATCTGCAGCAAGCAATTGGTGGTCTGATCCGGGGGGTACATTGCGATCCTGTACAGACAACCTATTTATTGTACAACAGCTGGCAGAAAAGGTCATAGCAGTAGATAAAGAATTGCATTTGGCGTTTGTGGATCTAGAAAAGGTCTATGATACTGTTCTGAGAGCAGGGGAGTTTTAAAAGACTTAGACAGATGTTACAGAATATTATAGAAATGTATAGCGACACAGTACAGAATCAAAATGTACAGACACTTTCATAACCGATAAATGTGTTTGCTTAAAAATTAGAAAGCATGATGTAGCACACTATTTATTGCTGATGATCAGGTTGCGATGGCCCAGGACCATGATGATGACCTAGAATTCATGATGAAACGGTTTTACGACGAATATAAAAAGTGGGGGTTACAGATGAGTCTTGACAAAACAGAATACTTGGTAGTAAACAGCGATGCTCGATTTCAAGTTCTTAATGATAATGTAGGTATTAACCAAGTGGAGAAATTTAAATACCTAGGAGCACTAGGAGAAATTGAAATAAAACAAAGAATACATCAAAGTAGGAAAATCGTAGGAAGCCTTAACTCATTCTGGTGGGCTAAAAATATCTCAAATAAAAATGAGTGGAGAAAGTAAAGGCGGAGTCAGTTTTGAGCTATGAATCAGAAGTGTGGAGTTCAAATGCAGATCTAAAAAGAAGGATCTTAGCTGTAGAAATGGATTACATTAGACGAAGCGCGAATAGAAAGAAAAACTAATGAGGCAATAAGAACATGAATGAAAGCAGAAGAAACGGTGAATGCCTGAAGAGAGATGACGGAAAAGAATATTTCAGTGGAGACGAGGCAGACCACGTAGATCGTGGAATAAAACGATCAGAAGATTAATGAATGAGCGAAATTTACAGGAAGAGGATGCTTTAAATACAACTTGTATTGTATTGTAACCAATAATATATATTTAGCAAATACGAGTTTCAAATAGGAAAAAAAACTAACTCGATTTGGTTAGTTAACTTTTGGTCAGTACGTACCGTCTTCCTCAGTCTGACAGTAGGACGGTACCGTAAACACCCCGTCGCCGACTTTGGTGAAGGCGAGCACTTGCAAGCTGTAGTTGGTGAACTTTCGCAGTCCGGTGATGACGGTGGTGAGCGCGGTAGTTTTCCTTGTCTCGATTTCATCGTTACCTGAATAAATGTGGAAACGTTTTGGACCTTCAAGGGCAGTAGACGACGTAGTTTACCTTTCCAGTTCTCATCTATCACCGGTTCGTAGGTGAGTTTGTAACCTTGTAGAAGACCGTTGCAATGTTCGGTCGGCGGCGGCTGCCAACTTACTTGGAGTGACTGAGAGGTCAAAGCGGCGCATCTGACATCTTCGGGTGGCATGCTGGGCACTGCATGGAAATCATGGTTAGTGTTTGCACTCCACACGCGACACCCGATTGGTGATCCATAGGGATTATCAACCAATATATCAAAAGAGACACTTGGATCCAAGAAAAATGTTTGAAAGTTAAACTTTAAAACGGAAACACCTTTAGACAATATTTTAATAAATAATTGTCAATGCAATTCCAAATATTTTTGAAAATTTCGTCAAAGATTAGGTACTGGAAATATGAATTCAAAAATAATTAATAGACAGAATTAAACCTTGTGGTGGTGGTGGTGGTTATTAATACCGAGTTCTGCAATGCGTTTGACAGGCTGAAACATGGAGATCTGGTCGAAAAACTTGAGAGACTACTCATATAGACACTACTTTGTTAAGCTACAAGCCATCTTATCGATAATAACAACTTTACTTCTTCCCAAACCCTAATCTCATTAGGTGCCTAAAGGTCCCACTAGGGCCCCTTACTAATTGGTCTTATCATCAACGCCGTCAATTCTTGCTTATTTATTACATTCGTCAAAGTAATTAAATTCCGCGAGACCGGTGCTAATTAACTAATTAATAGTGGTCCGTAGAAATGTGTATATCAATCCTGAGTACCTTACTTCAATTAGGGTTTTTCGTTCCATATGGATTCCACAATTAACAAATGTTTGGACACTCCTGCCATTCAAGCTCTTCGTCAGCAATTTCATAAAACTATCCATTCCACTCAGGCTTAGGGACTATTATTTGTGAGAGCTGGTCGCTATTTAGCTAGGCTTGAAATAGTCATTTAATTATCCTTAGAGTTATATTACAACTAAATGGAATTTTGTATGGTTTCCCCATAGTTAATGCAGATCTTGTTGTTTTCCCAAGTTTTTCTATGTAATTTTAATATAATCTTGGTTCATAAAAAATAAACAATAAAGACTGTGACATTCACTAACGATTGTGGCTGATTAGAGAATAGAATTCTATCAATTAATAAAAATGGTAAAAGAAAATCAATCGAGAAACATTAATTATCCGACGGGCCGAAGGTCGTTAGCATATAAATTGACGGGTATAAATGGTAGTTTTATTTAGTTAGAAAAATGGATTTCTATAAGGGGCGACGGAAATTATAGATTATTTTAGATCTCGGCAGGGCGCTCCAATTCAAGAGATTGATAACTTTGCCCCATTTTATGATCTAAAGTCTCGCACAATAAAAACTGCGAATGGGTTTTCCCGACGTTAAAGAACTATCATTGTCGAATGGGAATTGAGTTGCGACTGCGATGAAATATTGTTGCAGTGAAAGCATATTCGCGTAAAGTTTGAACTCTGATGGTTTATTGTCAGGAAAATCTCAGGAACGGGATACCTAAGGGAATGAAATACATTAAAAATTTAGATTTCCAGAAAAATTTCTAGCTTAGAGAAAATAGAAAATTAAAATAAGTAGTTACTTTATGTCACTTCTGCATCCCCCATCCTCTGGAGGAGATCTATTAACATCAAAATTTCTAACTCAACTCAAATGACATTTGAAAAAGACACGGCGTTGTCGAAACAATTGTCATGTAAAAATACATAATTTCGTGAAAATCTGATCTTTTAGTTCTAATTTTTTTTGACGAAATCACTTTTGATCATACTTTAAAAGGGGTGTTCTACATATTTTCTTAATTGTGCTTTTGTAAATGTTTTGACAGTTTGTAGGATGCTTATTAGACTTTTTGGAGTACAATCAAGTCTTCTTCCTGCCATTTCTAACCGCTCCACCATAAGGAATGACAATTTTTTATTATAAATATTATAAACAATAAACACAAATAATTAGGAGCCTTTGTGCGATCAATTTTTTTATTATGTTTGTGAGTTATACGGGAATCAAATACGCAATAAAAAAGGGAAAACGATCCTCAGGCAACCATCAACGTCTGCTATTGTATTGAAACTAGTATCTGCATACCGTCCTCCATAGTTTGTGCGGTGACAGTTTCCGACAGTGGTCCGGCGCCGACCTCATTGTAGGCCTGAATCACGATCGTGTATCTCGTGAATTTGGCTAGCGAACTCAGCAACACCTCACCCCCATCCTCACCGTCTCCCGCGACGGAGGTAAAATTGTATGCTCCCATTGTCACCGACTTGTAGCCAACGTTAAATCCCTAGAACGGAACAATCGAAACTGGCTCGAATCTCTGCGACCTCGATCCAGACCTGAATGTCCCCGTGTCTCATTTCGATTAAAGGAGGTTGCCACGTGACCAGAATCTCCGTCGACGATATCGGTCGTGCGGCAGGATTCAGCGGTGGTCCTGCTGGCTTTTCCGACGCTGTACGAATCAGGACCTCGTCGCTGGGAAGACTCCTACCAGCCGGACCCTCAGCTATCACCCTAAACGCGTATTTGGTGGCCGGTTTTAAGTCCTCTACGGTGGCAGAATAAGGCAGTGGTGTTTCGGTGAGCTCGATTTGGCGCCACGCTCCTGAAACTCGAAAATAATACCACCACTACCTCGAGAAGCTGTCGAGTCCACTCACTTTCCATCTCTTTGAACTCTACGATAAATTTGAACACTTCGTTGGAATCTCCCGATTTATGGGACCATTTTAAGTTCACGGACGTGCTCGTTTTGGTTGGCACCTCGACGTTCTGTGGAGGAACCGGAGGTTCTTGTACCAGCAGTTGAACCAACTGCTGATCACGCCCGTACATGTTGCTGGCCTGGCAGAAATACGCGCCACTGTCTGAGGCGTCAGCGTTTAATATTTGAAGTTCGCCAGCAACCTGGACAAACCCATTTGTAAAGGTACAGGCCATGATAATAATAATTTGATGATCTTTCATATTCATTTGAAAATATATATTATGGGGACGATATTGATTTCTTGGAAATGGATCATCGGAAAAAGCTTAAACACATTCATAACCAAAATTAAAGGGATGAGCTGAGGTGTCACATCAATAAAATACATTTCAATAAAAGACATGTAGATATTCCCACGTTGCCGTAGCGTAAGTTACAGAACAGAATAAAGCTTATCCTTAGAAAACATTCATATTAAAAATAAAATATGTCTAAACACAACCTTTATCAAGAACGCAAAAGAGTGAGATTTAATTTTTTCTTAAAGAGGAGGAAGATTAGGATTTATGAATTTGGCTTTTGGATTTAGCAGAAATAAATCGAGAATATAGTTCATGCATGTGCATGTGACGTGACATTAATTTATAACCTTATATTTTAGAAAGATTGTCAATTTTCATATAAGGTGCAAGTGAATACTAAGTACGCAAAAAATACTGAATTATACGTTCTTACGTCGTTTAAAGTTAAATTTATTATTTTCCTCCTAAATGTTTTGTTTTTATTAATATTTTCTATTCTTCTCCTCCTTAAACATTATTATTTTATTTTTGAGACTTTCTTAAATCCACTCACATTGTCATATTGACTGATATGTGTAGTTTGTTCTTAATGGTTTATAACATTTGCAATACGAACCCCATCCGGAGTGACATCCTGTTTCACGTTAACCCTGTAGTTGGTGGAGGGATTCATTTCGGTTTTGCCACCCCTCAACCATATAACGCTAATTGGCTTGTCACCGTTGACATCGCAGTGCAGAATAGCACTATCCCCCTTTTTAACGGTCACCATACGTGAGCGGGCAGAAAAGTACGGCGACGCTGCAAAAATATTAAGAAAAAAATCTGCAATAACTAAATAAATAATTCCTTCATTATACTGAATAGTCTGAAAAAAAAAATGCGTTCTACATATTATGAAAATTCAATATAGGTGTTGTTCCTCCATAGCTTCGCTGAATAGATAATTGAAATTTACCAATAACGTTAAAAAATTTATATTAACTGGTATTACACATAAGGGGTGTTTTTTTCGATGTATAGAACTTTAAGTTGCAATAAAACAACGATCTCAATCTGGACGTCCAATTTTCGATGACTTTTTCCAACATTTGTGGCCGTATATCGGCAATAACACGGCGAATGTTGTCTTCCAAATGGTCAAGCGTTTGTGGCTTATCCGCATAGACCAATGACTTTTCATAGCCTCACAAAAAGTAGTCTAGCCATGTTAAATCACAAGATCTTGGAGGCCAATTCATAGGTCCAAAACGTGAAATTAGGCGGTCATCCAACGTGTCTTTCAATAAATCGATTGTGGCACGAGCTGTGTGACATGTTGCGCCGTCTTGTTGAAACCACATCTCCTGGACGTCATAGTTATTCAATTCAGGAACGGAAGACTTAGCAATCATAGCTCTATACCGATCACTATTGACTGTAACGTTCTGGCCATCATCGTTTTTGAAGACGTACTGACCAATGATTCCACCAGCCCATAAAGCGCACCAAACAGTCAGTTTTTCTGGATGTAACGGTGTTTCGACCTACACTTGAGGATTAGCTTCGCTCCAAATGCGGCAGTTTTGTTTGTTGACGTAGCCATTCAACCAGAAGTGCGCTTCATCGCTAAACAAAATTCGCTTATGAAAATCGGGAACAACGGCAATCTCGTTTTGGGCCCATTCGACGAATCTACTCCTTACTTAATGATCGTTTGGCTTCAATTCTTGCACGAGTTGGATTTTGTAAGCACGTAAACCAAGATCCTTCCGCAAAATTCTCCATAAAGTGGATGGACACAGATCTAATTCCTGTGCTCGATGGTGGATGGACTCATTCGGGTCTTCCTCAATGCTACGCTCTACAGCAGCAATAGCTTTTTCTGTACGCATCGTACGGCGTCTCTGGGGATGCGAGTTATCAATAAGAGTGGTGTGAAAACGTTCCATGGTTAATCGAATTAACTGCTCTGATGGACGATTTTGTCGACGATAAAATGGACGTAGTGCGCGATACGTATTCCACACAGAACCATTATTTTCGAAATAAAATTGCACTATTTGCAAGCGTTGTTCAGGCGTGAGTCTATTCATGATGAATTGCCAAACCAAACTGAGAATAAATCACTTCACAGCTGTTAAATCGGACGCCATATTGACCAGTAATGCCAACTTAAAGTTCTATACATCGAAAAAAAAACACCCATTAGACATGTAGACTTCCCCAATACCGGTAGGTAGCTGGTTAAACAATTATATGCATTTATATGCAACTGGAACAGATGTTCTGTGCTTTGGTATGATATCGTTGTTGGTTACTTGAGGGGAGCTTTCTGCTTTCATTTTTGCGGTAACCAAAAACAAGAATAGTTACGGACCTTGATCGAATCTGATCAACATCCGTTTCGGACCTATTCGAGACCTGTTCGGTAAATGTTCGAGCTTGTTCTTTGATTAGAACAAAATTGAAATCTAAACTTGAGAGTTTGAGATACCAAACCTCCACGGCCGAACTTCTGAGACACTTCTGAGGACAACGCAACATTATTTGTCAGTACTTATTTTAGCAGCAATAAGAAAATGTGGTGGGTAATTGATTTTGGTTTACATAAAAAAATATGAACCTGACTTCATCCTAAGAGATAATGTGTTACAGTTTTTTTTTAAATGATTGTGATCATTTTTACCCAGATGAGATTTTCTGTTTATAATCTGTTACTGAATAAAAACGTAATTAATATTAAGTTTAAGTTATTATTAATTTAGTGTACACAGTCTATTACTATTACTATTGCTGAAAATTTTAGGCCAATTGAGTGGTGATTACAGGTAATTAGTGCTATTCAGTTATCATTAGTGGGATTATAGTGGTAATACTAGGTAATAGGATATCTCGCGGTAACAAGTAGATTAAAATGTCAAAGTCTGAAGATACTTAGGTTCTTCAGAAATAGAAAAATGTGAATGAAATATAAAAAATGTGGCGCCAGTTAGTAACATTTTGGCGGATATTTTCGCTACTGAATTTGTGTCTTATATATAGCTAAGATACTTTTTTTTTAACTTTTTGGGTACTATTAAGACTGAAAACGTTATTGAAATACAACAGTTTTGCCAAATACATGTTTTTAATATCACATTTCTTGAGCAATTAGATTTTCCTATTGGATCGAATTATTATGTTATTTTTTTGTCTTTTTTGACAAAAGGCTGTTTAGATTGCTTTTTTTCATGTTTTTTTCTTTAATCAAATGTTTTAGAATCAGCATTCTATCATATCCTAATTATATTCCAAAATTTATATATGTATATATATTTTAATTTTTCAAAGAAACTTTCACAGGCTACTATAATATTTTTAATTAAACTTCTGGATTCCTCCTGCGTTGGTTTTTGTTAAGTCGAACGAGCTAACGTTTCGTCAATCATCCTGTTGGCTTCTTCAGAGCTCAACTGAAACCGGCTCGTATTTTACTCTGTGCCTGCTTTTATATTGTTTGAGGAGGGCGGAGCTAAATGAGGGGCATAATCACCGTCTCGAACGACTGATTCCCATATTAGTGACTGGTAAAGGCCTGACTCGCGGTTAAGATTGTTAGGTTGCTCATAGATTTCTTTAGACTCGGATTTTTTATTGGTAGAAGAATTGATTACATGCAAGAATTTTAGTTTTATCAAATAAAATTTTATGTCCGGTTTAGTGATTGTGTTCTGCAACTGCTGATGAGTTTATTTGAATTAGTCTTAAGGCTCTTTTATGTTCTTTGAGCCTAGCTGATATTTTTCGTCCTGTCTCTACAATGTAATCTTTGCCGCATATGCATGGAATGCTATAAACTCCTGGTATCTCAAATGAAATGTTGTCTTTGACAGATCGAAGATGTTGAGAGATTTTTGGACAACTTGTAAACCGGGTTACATTTCCTTGGAACTTTTGATATGTGGTCAATGGCGTTTCGTCACAAAATACATTTCACCACAACCTTCCAATAGCAATGAACTTGAAAGCAATCCCACACTTGTCACTATTGTCCTTCCTTATATTCAAAACATCACTTTCCATATATCAAAAGTTATATAACGTCAAAACCAGATTTATCAATTGTTCAAAATTCTCTCAACATCTTCGATCCGTCAAAGACAACATTCCTTTTGAGATGCCAGGGGTTTACAGCATGCCATGCATATGCGGCAAAGAATACATTGGAGAGACCGGACGAAAAATATCAACTAGGCTCAAAGAACATGAAAGAGCCTTAAGACTAAGACAGATAAACTCATCAGCAGTTGCCGAACAGAATCACGAAACCAGACATAAAACTTCATTCAATAAAACTAAAATTCAAAGCTCCGATCAGAATTGTGTATACTAAGGAATGAGTTATCCCTTCTGAAGTCACAGGGAGTAAGTTGTGACCATTTAAATAATCCCGAACATGCACAGTCTTCCCATGAGATCCTCGGGGAGATGCAGGATCGGGAAGATTGATCAAAAAATGTTATTTTTACAATGTGCCTGAGAGCAAGGCCGAAGGTTCAAAACAATGTATTGAACATGATAAAAAGTGTGTATCTGATGTTTTTGCAAAGATTAATGTAAATTCTACAAATTTTAAATGCTTTCGACTAGGAAAGAAGAACAACAATAGTCACTTGCAGTTCTTGCCCTAAAAAACCGTAAATTACTTACTGATGCCAGTATACAGATCAGAGCTGACCTTACTTACATTACTACAACGTAGGGAGATAAAGGAAGCATATGAAGAATTTGCTTTGCGTTCCCAAACAGAACAGAATTTACGCGTACAATATATTAAGGGCATACCTAAGGTTGTTCGTCAAAAAAAGAAACAATAACTCTATCAAAAAACTCAAACTAAATGTATACTATCGCAATGTTGGTGGGATACGCACTAATTTGTCGGATCTGCGTCAGGCTGTCAATAGTAGTGTGTATGATATTATAATTTTGGTTGAATCCTGGCTTAATGAAGACTATTCAGACTCGCAGTTGGGATTTTTGGATTCTAATCTGCATAGACAAGATAGAAGTCAGTTTAACACAGGTAAAACAAGGGGTGGGGGGTACTGTAATCGCCATTAAAAGGAAATACAATCAAGGATGGTACAGATTAGCGATTCTGTTTTAGAACATGTCTTTGTAAATTTTTCGTTTGGGTATAGACAATTTATTTTTGGTGCTGTTTATATTCCCCCGCATCACCAATCACAATATATGAAAAATTTCATTCCACAGTCCTGGATCTCGTTGGTGTCTATACCTGATGTCATGATCTGTGGTGACTTTAATTTACCCAGTGGAATCTGGGTTAATTCTGATGACGGATTGTGTGTTCAGAGTGCGGAATCAATTACATCAGACAATTTGGTGTGTTCATGTTGCAATTATCTCAACCTTAGACATATGAATCCTTTACCTAACGGGTATGGGGTATTTTTGGATCTCGTTTTTTCGAGCATGTGTGCCACTAGAGTTGCTTATGCCTCCGAAAATTTGTCAAATGTTACCGAACGCCATGCGACGTATGAAATTGATGTTCCTATAGACTGTGATAAGGGTCCTAAATATAATATCTTTTACTATGATTTCAAAAATTGTGATTTTGTTGCAATTAACGATTAGGTGTAAAGTTTTGCGCGAAGACTGTCATAATTCATATTTATATAGAGTAAACACTGAAGTCATACAGGATCCTAGTCAATTTTGGAGACATATAAATACGATGCGTAGATCGGGTGCGTATCCCAATTGTATGCATTGGGAGAGTGAGATTGCTGGCAATGGCCAAGAAATTGTTAACTTATTTGCGAAACACTTTTCATCTACATACAAAAAGCATGAAGGGGATGTTCCTGACTATAAATTTGACTATGGTTTGAACTTAAATGTCATTAACTTTACTCTGAATGAAATATTTGCGGGGATAGATGGCCTTCGGACTAAATACTCGCATGGCCCGGACGGTATTCTATCTATTGTAATAAAAAAATGTGTGTGTACCTTGAGTGGACCCCTCCACCACATTTTTAATGCTTCCTTATCGTCCGCTGTTTTCCAGAAGCAATATTAGAAACTATAGAGTATATGCATACAATCTGTCAGAAGTCTAAACAAATGGACAGTGTCTACACGAAGGCGATTGACAGAGTTAGTCATGAGCATCTTGTTCGTAAGTTTCGGGCCATAGGACTGGGTGGTACTCTGGTTGAATTTTGTCACAGCTTTTTAATAGGGTGTACATAGCAAGTCCGAATCAGTAATTATATTTCTAGCGAAATTGTGGCCACAGGGTTCACACATAGGTCCAGTTTTCGTTAATTTGTTTATAAGAGATCTGAGTGATGTGATTCTTCATTCTGAACATCTTGCCTTTGCAGATGATTTTAAATTTTACAAAACAATTGAATCATTTATGGACGCTCAGCTTCTTCAGGGCTACCTTAATAATGTTAGTTCGTGGTGCAGAGAAAATGGTCTGTATCTAAATGTTGGAAAGTGTTTTAGTATTACTTTTTCTCGCTTAACTAACACCCTTCAAAATAGATAAAATAAAAGTTAGGGACCTTGGAGTAATCTATCGACTATTTTAGAACCCTTTTTTGCTCCTTAGTTAGATCTACACTGGAGTATGCATCAGCAGTGTGGTCTCCACATTACAGATGTCACATTGATAGATTGGAGACTGTTCAAAGGGCATTTCTGATGTCCCTAGCATATAGAGCCGGTATAAATATCTACAATAACTTTCACATTAATTATTTTCTGGTATGTGAGCCTTTTGGGATAGATAGTCCGGAAATTAGAAGAACCCACTCCGATATCTTGACGTTTTATAAAATTTTGAACGGTGTATATAACTGTTCGGTTTTCCTCCAGTCCATTGATTTTAACATCTATCAAAGACGTCAGAGCTCCCCAATATTTTGCATTCCATTTCATCACGCCAACTATGGCTACTTTTCTCCTTTAACTCGAACCTTGAGGTTATTTAACAGTTGCTCTCTTGATCCCTTTGCTGGCGGTCTTCTACTATTTAAGACAAAATTAAAACAGGTGGTTTATTGTAGTTGTAACTAGTGTGATACTGTTTGTTTACTGTTTCTTACTGTTTTTGTATTTTTATATGTTTTATTAAAAAGCTAAGTTGTTGTTTTGTCACGTTGCTATTTCTATTTATATTTATATTATATTTATATTGTTACTTTTTCTTTGTAAATTGGCTCAGCCGTTGAAATATAAAATAAATAAATTCTACCAACGAAAAATTCGAGAGTCTATAGAAATTATTTATTTAATATAAGCAAGATTAGTGGCAATTGAAGTCGTATGTAGTGGTAATTCTTGCGATAAATGTGACAGATGTGGTAATTTAGTGTACTGTAATCTCCACAACGGATGTGGATTTGACGACTGTGACCAGTACTTACAATTGACCCTGAGCTGAATGACCTTTCCGATGCCGGTCCCAATACCATTTTCGGCTTGACAGAGATAGTAACCCTCTCGATCTTCTTTCACGTGTTGTAGCAGAAGCGTGCCGTTCCCGAGGAGTTTGGTATACATGTGATCGCGCACTTCGTCGTAGTCGCCGGACTTACTGCCTGAACAAACATGCTGGATAGAAACATTTCGATACGGTCGGTTTAAATGGAAATTATGGTAGTGTTAAGGGCCGATCCGCGCTGTTAATTAGGGCCAGGTCCGTGGGAGAAACGTGTTCTTTTCGAAATGGAAACCGTAAATCCGCATTTTATTTACGATCTGGAAATTCGTCGTAACATATTGTGCGGTTTCGGAGAAAATGCTCCCTTAATAGCGGTCTTTTGTGTCGGTTGCCGTTAAAAGTCATTCAAACAAGGAAGCCTTGTTGATATATCTACGGGTTTTCTTAGTGCGAGGGCAGAAAATATCGTCTGAATGGAGCTATTTACAAAGACCGACGCACAGAGGCGTATTCAGGTGCAAACTAGTTATTTGGCTAGTTTTTTATTTGCAAGTAGCATGAAGTCGTTATGGTTAAGCATATACAGGGAACGGCTAAAATGAATTTCATGTCGATACCAAGTCACATTATTTACTGTTCTCTTACTCTTACTTTTTATGAAAAAAGAATAAAAAACAGAAATTTAATTTTAAAATCAAAAATCTTAAATTGTTACATTTACAATCTATATTCTGTGGTTAACCCTTAAACACTTTTGATTTTAAATGTTCCCAGAGGAAAAAATCCAGTAAATTAATATCCGTAGATTTTGCATGCCATTCTGTTATAGTTTACTTTCTATTTCCTATTAATACACATTAATACACGCAGTAGATGGCGATTATCCTCAACTTTTCTCTGTTGTTTCTCTGTTTGTATATATTGTTAGCCCTGAAGCAATTTTTTAAAGCAAAGTGATATTTCAACGGTAATTTTACGAAAAAATATTCCTGTAACACAAATATCCGGAAATTGATTTTTAGCAAGGCACATAGTGTCAAATGTTGTTTTTAAATAAAACAAAGAGTAATGTCACTGAAGTAGATAAGAATCAACCTATGAACTTCTTAGTTGGATAGAAGAGAGGCTGTTTTCACTTAAATGTGTTGGACTTATTACAAAAATTCTAATGTTCTCAAAGAGTGATTATAAAAACCAAAAAATGTGTTCCCTATTAAAAAAATAATTAAAATATTTTTTCACTGATATTTTTGAAATTTGACAGTGTCGCTTCTAGAAATAAAGCCCTGATTTGATGGTAATTAGATAAAAATTAGTCCAGGGGCGTTAATATGGAAACTTAAATAGATGAAAAGTATAGACAAAAATGCACGCCACTGATTTTAATTTAATTTTGACATGTCTTTGAGACAACATAACGACAAAATTACAACATTTTACGAGATAAAAAATGAAAAATATCACATGTATACAAAAACATTTTTCACCATTCCACTACCCCCACTGGACTTTTCTTCTAGTTTGGGCTAAAAGTAATTTATTATTGGCGTTACTTAAACAGATAAAAAGTATAGACAAAAAATGCACGCCACTGATTTTTATTTAATTTTGATATTTCTTTGAGATAACATTACAACAAAATACGAGATAAAACATGAAAAATATTATATGTATACATAAACAGTTTTCAACATTCCACTACCGCCACTGGATTTTTCTTCTAGTTTGGGCTAAAAATGTCTTATTATTGGAAAGCAATGTAGCCAATTAAAAAAAATCAAAAGGCCGATAATTCAAGTGTATAAAGCGGTCAATCCTTTCCTAGAGTTACGAGATTTTGCTTGTACAGTTTATTTAAGTATTGATAACTTTTGAATATTTTGAAGCCGAATTCTCGATACTCTCACTGAATTTTTGTGAATTACGATCTAAAGGATAATAAACAAGGCAATTGAAAATGTTGGGCTAATTCTAACTTAAGACCATGTTAAAGTTAATCAAAGATTGGCGGTTGAAAGTACCAAATAACGTCTTGTGGATGGGGAGCTTCAAAAAACAAGTACCATCTACACAATACACGATGCATTTCGTTTAAGGATGCCCAGATCTAATTAATTGTCATCTACAGCTAGATCTCCAAGAAAATTATCATTTAGTTGGCAGACACCTACGTAATAAGTATTGTGTTTTACTGCTACCCGCTTGCCTCGCCGTGGTTTCCATAAAACTGCCTTTTATATGTCTGACCACCAAGCTTTTACCCATACAGTTTGCAGTGTACAAGTAAATTAAATCCCCACTGTATCCTGGCAACTCCCTTAACACTTAAAATTTCTAGCTCGGCTCTGCATTTTCACGTACTACGGTTTGCCTGAACAATCCCCCAACCCCCCTCCCATAAAATATCATTCTTCGCCGGAGTAGAAAATACATAATACAACCGGCGTCGCGATAGAGAGAAAAGTTGGGAGACCTGTGGCTTTCTTCCAGATGACCGTCGGAGTGGGGACGCCTTGCGCCTGGCAATGGAGAGCTACGTGCCTGTTCCTTTCTACGCTGACATCGACCGGTTCCACTAGCCAGCGCGGCGGCACTGGAAACACGCACAGTAATCAGCTGGATAGTTGGAGGCTGGTCATTGTATAGAGAGAGAAATTTTCTGTTAATCGCTTCAGAAGTTAGTTTTATTTGGGCTTTTTGTCGCGGGTTTTAGCCTATTTTTATCTAGCACAAATAAAGATGGCTAGTTATATTAGACCCTTTTGTAATCGTGTTTGCATCCAAAGCATATAATACAGCATTATACTCTGCAGTTTGCATTTATTTGGTGATCTCATTTCACATTATATTGAAGAAAACTGCGTCTAAAGACTATTGGTCTGTGCTCTTTTTGAATAGCTTCGATTGTTTGATGTCGTAGTTTTTAATATACGGTACAGCTTCGCTAATCCGAACTCCACTAAGCCGGATTCTCCAGTAATGCGGACAAAATTTAAATATTAGTTATTTACATTATGTCTTCCATAGTCCGGATCATGCTGTTGTCGACTATTTCTGGGTAAATAAAGAAGTGTAGACATTGTATAGCTAGCATGAATTTTTAAGTATGTAATGTAAATTTTGTTTTGAGAGTTTTGAAGTGACTGAAAATCAGAAAATAAATATTTTTTTGTTTTATTTTTTGACATTTTGGGTACAAACTGCTAACTCTTAGGTGAGTGAATTCCTCTATACTAATGTTATCATCTTGTTTTAGCTTCATCGAAAATTATTTTTCTGCACCGGGCCGTAAGGAAACTTTGCGAAAAGAATTCCTTCAAATGGAAACTGAGTTATACGGGTGGTTTATTAAGTGGCGGGAAAAACGTGCAACCATTTCATATCACATTTTAAGAGAAAGAGCGATACAACTTTATGTAAAACGTTATGGTGATAATACAATTTTAACGCAAGTAGAGTTTGGATAACCATATTTAAAAGAGACATGCAATTCTTAACCTCAAAGTTAGTGGGAAAAAATTATTTAGTGACCCAAATGTTCTTAAGCCTTTTCTTCAGAAATTAACCAAAAAAAATAGGGAGGTGCAGCACTGTTCTGGAAAATGTTACCCGATTGTAGTTTGTAAAGCATCTAAGGAAAAAATAACTTTAGTTCTTTGTGCAAATGACGATGGATCGCACAAGCTAAAGATGATGGTTATTGGCAAATTAAAAAATCCGAGGTCATTTAAGAATTGTATCAATAAAACGTGGATCACGTTAGCTTTATCTGTCAAATGTTTTCACAAATCTTTTGTTCAACCAGTAAAAACGTTTCAGAAAGATAATATGAGCATCAAAGGACTTTTATTTATTGATAATGCTCGAAGTCATTCAACAAAAGATCAATTGATCAGTGATGATGGAAATATCGTAGCTATGTTCCTTCCACCTAATACTACGCCCTTAACGCAACCGATGGATTAAAATGCAATTCGGCTCATTAAAATGTTTTACCGCCAAACCTTATTAATTCATATTTTGTCTTTTGAAGAAACTGGCATTTCCAGCACTCTAAAAACATTAATTTAAGAGATTTCTGCTGGCTAGTTGGCTAGTTCATGGGATAAAGTAAGCTCTGATGCAATTCAGAGTTGTAGGAACAGAATATTTTTTCATCCAGACCTTGATGAGTCAAACTCTGGTTGGGAGCCTGAAGGTTCTACGTCGGTAGGTGTAAGAACTGCATGTGAGTGTTTTTGCGTGCATTTTCTATTATATTTTAGGTGTTAGTAAATGTTTACATTTTTTGTGTTAATAATTGCCACAACAATGTGTATTTAGTGGATTTTTATAGCTTTTAAAAAGATTCTAATAATCCGGATATTTCACTAAACCGGATCGCCTCGGTTTTCATTAATCCGGATTACCGAAGCTCTACTGTAATAAAAATCAGACGTTTTAAATGTATTTTTATTTATTATTATCCGAATTGAAACTTTGTAAACAGGTAAACTTTCGAATAATGATTGGATACCTTGTATCTTAGATAGTTTATACTAATTACTGAAAGCGTCAACTGTTAATTTTCTCTCTTGCCCCATAGTCCCCACCTACGATCATTTAAAAGATAAATGTCGGTAATACAATTCCCACGGGTATTTTAATATTCTCACTTCGTGAAAAAAGCTATGTTACACAGCCAAAAGTTACGGCTTATCCGTTTTTGTTTTCCACAGTTTAGGAAGAATAGAAACAAAGCTCTAAACTGCAGCTTTTTATATTCGAAGCTTAAAAGAGGAAACTTTGAGCAATTTGTTTGAAATATTTTTTGAAGAAGAAATTTTTAAATACCTTCGTTGACATGTTGTGGGAAAACTACTAAAAATTTGAAAATTTGGTGTTATTGTAATGCCGAAATAAGTGGAACGCCCAATATATTTTTTAAATAAAATTAAATTATTTTTAGAAAACCCGATTTGGTTAGAAATTTCTATAATTTATTTGATGAAAAAATAATTAAAAAATAAATAAAAACACCGACAACTTGTTTTCAAATATAAGAAAAGTATCTGTGATTTTCTAGTAAAGCAAATTCTGTAACATTCTCTGTAATTATTAAACAAATTGAAATAATTTTCATTTAATTTTCAGCAGTATTATATTTTTGACTTAAGGTTAGAAAGAAAGGATTTTCGCCGGTTTTTAGGATTTATTTATAATTACATATAAGTATTCATTTTCTTGAATAGGTTTTTTTCTACAAAAACACGGAAAATATTAATAATTCCAAAAACACTAGTACAATTTTTTTTAGAACAATGTGATAATATACGAGTACCTTACAGCAATTAATTTGCTTTCAAAACCCCTATTGAGAATTGATTTGGAGTTTACAGTTTTTTTAAAAATGACGCCATGATTATTGTAGAGTTAAGCAAATCCCTAGTTCGTCTAGATTTTGTGAATGTTGAACATGTTTTTGTGTTTTTTATCTCAAAGAATGGAATTAGCGCAATCCAGATCACCCGATTTGTAGACCTTGAATTTTTGTCTCCGGGGCTCTATATAAATATGCTAGTGTACTCTAGGTCGATACATACTAGAGAGTAATTTTTGAGCCTAATAAAAACTAACCCAAATGTGCTATAGAAGCAATTATTGCAATGGTTTCGTTTAAGTTCCTTTTTAATTGTTCCTTGTTTCTTGTGTTGCTAAATGTATATCGTCTTCATTGATTATTAGACTCTAACTTCAATTTGACCTCATTCTAAATTTGCGGCGACCGGGGTAAAAATCAGGTCATCCCGGTGGTGAGTTTATAAACTTTTTCGTCCTTTGTCAAAATCAATACTAACTAGAAATAATGTTTGGGTTACATTAGTTTTTGACATGATAAAATAATAAGAAAATCGTTGAAAACAGGTTGAAATGGTTGGTAAATTGTGAACACCATATAAATGATAAGTCAAATCACAATATCAATTTGCTGTCGTGTTGCTGCTTACCGTACAGGCCTTTATTGTGATTACAATGGCGCATCAGCTTTCATCATTTTTAAAATAGTCAAGATATCCACCGAACAATTGAAATGAGGCATAGGGAAAAGTGAAGCAGTTTGCCATAAATTGAATGGGCCACTTTTATATTTAATAATTTTCACTTGAAAACACTATTACATCGATTTTAACCTAATTAAAAATTTTCAAATTTTTAGTATTTGTTGTCTTCCAATCACAAATCGAGGAAGTTCCCGCTGATAACGTTCATATCTTCGACTCCGGCAGTGGAAAATAAAACAGACGCCTTTACTCATTTTGGGACTGAGGTGTCTAACCAATACAGGTAATTGCTGCATCAAGCGAATTACTTGTGAAGTGCTTTTTATTAAACTTCTGGATTCCTTCTGCGTCGGTTTTTGTTTAGTCGAACTAGTTAACGTTTTGCCAATCATCCTATTGGCTTCTTGAGTATTACAGTATTGCATTACTACAGTAGCCTGTGAAAATTAACAAGCCCTTATGGAGACGACATCAAGCGGAAAAGAAGAAAGTCAGAAGATCACCGACTGAAACTGAAACCTTTCTGTTACGTTGTAGAGACCATTATGTCGTCCCCAATTTTCTTAAAATATCCCACCCGTAAGAAAATATACCTAATAAATAGGACTCTTCAGTCTCTATATCTTGAAATTGCTTCCATCTTGTCTCCATCCGAGTTGGATACCCTTTCAAACATAATTCATGACAAAGCTTTAAATCTCCCAGAATCACATTCAGAAATTTGAAAAACTAACGTCAGCACTAGGGAAACCATCAAACTCCTCTGAACTACCAAACACTGTGATCAATGTATCATGTAACATATTTCGGAAACGGAAAAATCAGTTCTTTCGAGAGGTTCCAACTTTGTCCTTGTCCCACGTATTATCCCAAAAAAGGAAGTCATTTCAAATGTCGGGTTTATCCTAAACAAACTATCATCTCAAATAGCTAATGAAATTCGATTTGAAACAGAAAAAATCTAATCTAATATTGCAAAGCCTGAACGCATTGCCCTAAAATCTCTAAAATCTAATTCCGACATCGTAATCCTAAAAGTAGATAAAGGAAATGCTATGGTCATGAACACAAATGAATATCAGGAAAACATTCAAGATATTCTTACATAAGGATCACGTCGTCAACCTAAAAAGATCCTATGTCATCTATGGAAAGCATCTTTAAATCTTTCCTTAAAGCCTCTTCTCTATCAGGCTCTGTCAAACAAATCTGTCATTCCTCATGACTCTAAAATTCCTCGTCTCTAAGGACTCCCAAAGATTCACAAACCAGGATTATCCCTTCGACCTATTGTCAGCACCATTGATTTTCCAACATATTCTCTAGCAAAATATCTAGCTATTCAAATTCTAGCGTTCAAATTTTTGAACTAATGTCGGGAATAGCTGTGGGTTCTCCACTATCACCAGCCATCGCGAATATATTATGGAAAAAAAATTATGGAAACGCCCTAGTCGATTTTCTTAAACATTTAAACTCTATACACCCTAACATAGGTTTTACCATTAAAATATAAAGTAATAACAACCTCCCATTCTTAGATATTCTTATTAATAGAAAATCAGACCTAACATTGAGTCATTGTGTTTACAGAAAACAGACACACACAGACCGATACCTTAATGCATTGTCACATCACCATCCGGCCCAAAAATCATTGGTTATCAACTTTCTTCTTTACAGAGCCGTAAAACTACCTCAGCTAACAACCTTCCAATATCAATGAAAGCGAAAGCAATCCCTCACTTGCCAGTGTTGTTCTTCCTTATATTCAAAACTTCACTGAACACATATCAAAAGTTCTAAGGAAATATAACGTCAAAATCAGATTTACCACTTGTCCAAAAATCTCTCAACATCTTCGATCCATTAAAGACAAAATTCCATTGGAGAGACAGGACGAAGAATATGAACTGGGCTCAAAAGACTTGAAAGAGCCTTATGACTAAGACAAATAAACTCATCAGCAGTTGCCGAACTCAATCACGAAACCAGTCACAAAAAGTTATTCGATATAACTTAAATTCTTGCATGTAATCATTTCTTCTACCAACGAAAAATCCGAGAGTCTATAAAAATCTATATGCAACCTAAGAATCTTAACCGCGACTCAGGTCTCTACCCGTCACCAATATGGGAATCAGTCACCCGAGACGATCTTTATGTCCCCCCATTTAGCTCCGAACCGCCCAAAAAATATATAAAAAGGTACAGAGTAAAATGCGAGCCAGTTTCAATCAAGCTCTGAGGAAACCAACAGGATGATTGGCGAAACGTCAGCAAGTTCGTCTCAGCAAAAACCCACGTAGAAGGAATGCAGAAGTTTTATAAAAAGTATTACAGTAGCCTGTGGAAGTTTCTTTGAAAAATTAACTTGTGACGTCTACGTATAAGTACAATTAATATTATTGGCGGAGGAAACTCGACGGATCCGAAGAATCACGTCGAGTTTCCCGGAACGCACGCAATACATCGAAATTTCATCGAAAAACGGAAAACACGCAAAGCATGCGAAATAAACACAAGCATGCGGAACAATAAAAAATACCCAAACGCTACCGTGAAAGTGAAATAACAAAAACAAAACAGGGTGCGACAGTACCTTCGGCCCCTTAACCGGGCACAGATGAGACGCGGTGCCAAAGCGGGCGGGTGTGTGAGTGGTGGTGGTGAGTCAGTGGGGGGGCAGGAAGGAGGCCGTTTATGGCGGGACACAGGCTGGGTGTGTTTTACCTTTGACCTGTAGCTTTGCCGTGTATCTGACCTCTGAGGCTGGATTGCTCGCGACGCACGTGAAATCTCCCGAATGTCTCGAGTCTAGGTTAGAAATGCTGAGGAGGCTAGAGTAAGGATCGAGGGCCGAAACGTTGACGCCCAGCTGGGGCGACAACGGCTGGCCGTCCTTTAGCCAGGACACCACCAGTGGCGGGTCGCCCGAGCTTACTCCGCAGACCGTGCGCGTGCGCATGCCCTCGCTCAGCCCGTCTTGAAAGGAAAAGGGCTCAATGATAGGGGGAACTGAGAGAGAAAAGAAAACAAAACGTCAGAGAGCAAGAGAGAAAGGACTATGTTGCAAAACCCTGGCCAAATTACCGTTGACTACCAGCAGCTGCGTGTGAGCCACTTCGGCCGCTAGATTGCGTACCACGCACGAGTAGTTGCCGTTGTGTTCGGGCGACAGACTCTCGATCACTAGTATGCTCGTAAACTGATCCACCTGTGTGATGGATACCGTGTGACCGGCCTCTAGTGAGCGACCGTCTTTCCGCCACGATATCGTGAGCGGGAGATCGCCCTTAGTTACCGAACAAGTGAGGCTGGCCCGGTCCCCCACGTGGAGGGTATTGACCGAGTAGAACGGACTTATTTTTGGAGGAACTGAAATTAAATCGTTAATGTGACGAGGCACGGAGCGCGCTTTCGGCGGCCCAAGGCAGCTTTTCTGCACCGTCGGTTCGGTTGTCAGCTTGGTTTAAGTTCCAGCCGACAAAGACGTGTCAGTATGTTCGATAACGCTGACGGACATCTTCCCAAGAATACCATTAACATCAAGAGTCGCGTTTCAAGATAGACTGTGGCCCTATGATAGGCATCAAAATAGAAGAGTCAAGGAATCTCCCACGTATACATAAATCGAACCCAAACTGTCTTGCTGAACCATATCGAGACAAGAAGAGCAGTGGTTCAGGTTTAATTCGACCCATTTCAATATTGTTTACTTTAGGCAGCGATATCCAGGGCGCAGAGCATAAGTCTCACGAAAATAAAATATTGACAATCGTAGGCACTGTCCTTTGCAGCTTTTAGATGTTCCATTTTCCGTAACTTTTCAATTCGATCAGGCTAGTTTGTCTGCTGGTTCCTGTAAAGGGGACAACGGAGCTCGATTGGGCTCATTTTAATATTATTTATGCCTTCAAACATTGCACTTCAGGGTGTATGGTAGTGATATATATACATTTGCAGTGAAAAAAACTTGACTAATATCTAAACAAGAATAAATTAGCGTCGGTATTCTTCAACTGGAAACTTGGATTGAGCGACAGACACTTTTGGGCAAAAACAAATAATGTTAGTTTGACTTAAATTAATAACTAGCAGTTCATATTTTAAGAATAATGTACATCTGCACGATTAAAACTTTACAGCTGAAGTCATGAATGACAAGGACTATCGATACAATTATTTTGTATTATTTGGTAAAATGCGACAATTCCAATTTTATTGTCTAAAAATTTGTGGTTTAGAATTATGGTACGACCTCATCATCTATGTATCTATTTCTTAGTTTGGTAGTTTTAGGCTGTAGGTTAGATTCTAACGGGTTGGTAACTTGAATATTTTACAAATTATTATTACTACTGCATTAAAAAATATTACTACTAACATACTAAAATTCTTCAAAATTCGCTTACTTGCTATCAAGTGAATATGTTAATAAATTTAACTACATCCTTACAGAAGAGAGGTAAAGCTATTTGGACCCCGATCTCTACTACCATTTTGACGAATATTGTATATCATATCATTCTTTTACTAACATAGCAATTTACATTAAATTGTTTTTAATTATTTGTAATATAATTAATATAATTAATTAAATAATTAGGATAGTTTAACATAAAAGTGAGGAAAGGATAGGGTTACGTGTATAAATGAAAAGAGCTTTAATTCGCTCTTTCATTAAGTGCTTCCAAGTTACCAAAAATACAAAAAGTAGTAACATTTTTTTTGTTTTAAAAATTATGTAATTTTCAACGCTTCCTGGTTATTTAGTTTTGCTTTCTCATAATCGCATTTGTCTAAATTTTGATCACCATTTTTCCCGAATCATTTTCACTTGCTCAGTCATCATTTTCGAAATGTTTATTTAGATATGCGTGTGCAGGGACTGAAATAAAATCAAATGCCATACGAGATGTGTTCAAAAAGTAAAGTGACAACATATGTTCTCAGTTTCAGCCAGTTCGGACATTTACTTTTGTTGCGAGCCAGAAGCATTAGAAGTGTTTTGTGTTAAAAATGGAATACAGTGAAAACAAGCTGTTCCAAGATGGCCAAAAAGACGCCGATGACGAACCTCGCAGAATGTCAATGACTGATGAAAGCATTGAAGAAGTAAAACAAATGATGTTAATAAATCGTCGAATCGCTTTTAGAGAGGGGGGTGAAGACGTTGGCATCTCTAGTGACTCGTGGCATACAATTTTTTCCAAAGTTTTGGGCACGAAATGTATAGCCGCGAACTGCTTAATTTTAAACAAAATGTTCCTTGAAGGGGTATCGCTCAAGAGTTGTTAAACGACATCAATGATGATGATGATTATGACGTCGAAATCAAAGCCCAGTTGTCAAAATGGAAGTTCTTCTAATCGCCAATGCCGAAAAAAACCCGTCAGCTCGATCAAATATCAAGGTTTTGCTTACTGTTTTTTTTTTATTATCGTGGCGTAGTACACCAAGAGTTCTTAACACAAGTTCGTACCCTTAAGTTATGAGCCGTCCGGCAACTTTTTGGGCAAAAACCACAATCTTGCCTTAGCCACCAGATGCACCGGATATGATCCCCTGCAACTTTTTCCTGTTCCCAAAACTCAAGAAACCCATGAAAGGAAGGAGGTGTGGAACGAATGAGGATATCAAGAAAAAATCGCCGGAAGAACTCAGGGCTATACCAGAAAATGCTTACCAGAAGTGCTCCGAGGATTGGAAAAAACTTGGCACAAGTGTATTATATATGGGGGGACTACTCTGAAGAGACTATATTAATTTTGATGAATAAATAAATACTTTTTGATAAAACCTAAGTCACCCTACGTTTTGAAGTCACTTCGTAGATAAATTTCATAGATAGAACCAATGTTGTCAAATCATGCATTTCTTTCTTCAATGAAACTTTATCGTTGGACCCAGATCATGACTTAATAGAGCTTTTAATTATTAGTATCGTCTGTGGATTAAATTGGTTCTTAATTCGATAAAAGGTTTCTTATAATGAGATTTAACATGACGATTTGTTTTTTATCTTATTGTTTGGAAAAGAGCGCTTTATTCTTCTGAGCTCACTATCTCTGGTTCAAGGAAATCTCTTTTGTATACTCGTATTACTTAAAACATTAATTTTAATTAATTAATTGAAGTGTATCGCGGCTCTTTAACGATACACATGGTTGATTAAATTATTGTTATGATTTTTATTAGTTATCGCAATTTTAAAACTTTTTTTTTTTCGTTCGATAATAAATGAGGTTCGTGAGACACGTTAGGGTCGTCTGACAAGTCGCCTTTAGATAACTTTATTACAATAGGGGATGATTACAAAGGTAGCAAGAAACTCTTACCTAAAGTTAAGAAACTCGCCGAGTGTGAATAAAGTTCTATTCGATAGTCCCTGCTGATATTTTTTGTCAATTTTGGTTCTTTGTTAATCAACAGAAACGATGCGGACAAAAACGATGCAAATTACGCTGTTAACGCAAGAAACCGGAACTTAAACCGAACCGACGACAGAACTGGCCGTGGAAAAGAACCCTTTTGGCAAATTAGGCGAACGTAAGTAAAACAACGAAGGACTTGAACGACGGACGAAGCTCTGGTGTCTCGGACGAGCGTGACGATCTGAAACCCGCAGACGTGAAATTTACAATGTTTCTCCATCCGGATATAACGCTGGCATAAATCTGGACCCGCTATATCCGACGTAGAAAAATATACGTGCATCAGATTGTTCGAAATAATTCGAGCACGGCTGAGATAAATAAAACAATGCGCTTTTATGAACGGGTCGCTTTGTTTACGAAGACATGCATTCATTCATTCATAACGATATCGACAATTTTTAATAACATTGTAAGGAAAATAGCTTTGATCCCATGTTGCCCTTGCACTAATTTATCCGCTAGACGGGTTTTTATCTCGGAACTGGTAAAATATATTAGTAAATGAAAAAAGCTCTATAGAATCACGTATACTTTAAAAATATTGTAATTTTGTGAATAAGTAATAACCTTCTTATTTTAAATAGAACATATATGAATACATTAATACAATTTTTAATGTCACAGCCATATGTTATGCAATATTTGCGATTAATTTATAGAGGGGGCAATACGATCCAAGAAGTAACATTAAAAATTGAAATGAAACAATATTTAAGATTATTAAAAGCGACTTTTTAGTATTAAATATGTCTAATTATTAAGAATGGAACGAAATGTATCAAACATATTTCGATATGTGCAGGAAAATATCCATATGGCCAAAAATCTGGTGTTAAAAGAATCACAAGAAACATTTTTGTGTCATTTTTTATATATATTTTACACAGATTCAACTATTCACTGATTAAAATGGTTTCAGCATTCAGACATTCCTTATTACCAGTTGCTTATAAAATTAAAGGGTTGAATTTAAATTAAATTAAACAAATTAAATTAAATTAAAAAAAAAGAGATGTATCAGCAATTTTCAAAATGGCCGAAAAGTAACAAATCTCGGTTGATAGTGAAGATATCGTCATGCGGATTTTATCATTAAATATTCTTCAAAAATCTAGGCCTACTCCCTTCTGTAAAATACATAATTGTACGCCGATCTAGCGTGCGGGAAGCGTCACCTTACCACGTGAGTTTCTTGTCTCACGAATCCGAGTCACTTCGGACATTTCCGGGTTATTACCGCCCGGGTTCGGAAGCAATCAGATGTTTTCTTCCGTTTTTACCGTACCGCTTGAATTTTGACGTTTGTCAATTCAGATGATCGTCAGTGAATGTATCCGTGTTTTTTTTATTAAACACTGGCTCCGCTCGTGTTAAATAAACTCGTGACTCAAATACCGTTGCATAATATAATATTTTCTAGTTGACATACTTCAAAATGTATTTTACATAAAAATAGTAAAAATAGTCGTTGCTAAATTTTTAACGTATTTTTTCATTTTATAAGACATTACTTTTTCAAAAATATCACATTTAGGATGCTTCAGGTTTTGATATGCCTATTGCTTCAACATTTGTCCCCAATTAAACAAATTTGACCTGCTTTGGATATTATTGAGAAGCTCTTTCCAGCACGTAATGATCGTAGCCTGTATTAATCAGGATTATGACAGAATGACATTAAAGAGTCACACGACATTTTTACTCAAACGCTTATCCTACTAGAATAAAATATTGGTGGTTTATTCTATTTTACGAAAAACTAGATTTGTAGAATCCTACATTGTGTTCCCTATGCGAAATAGATTTGCTAACGTATGATCGGTAAAACACGCAGAGAACAAAGTGGATTTGAGGATCATGGTAATCCTCTTTTGTAGTGTCTTCATTTTTCACGAGGCTTCCGTGCTCTAACTAGGTATTATTATGAGCAATTAAAATCTGACAAGTTTTTGGTAGACATTGTCACTTGTCACTTTAAAAATTAGGTGAATTGTTGAAAATGCTAAATTTTCAGTTGTTTTCAAAAAATGCAAAAGCATGATCTTGAAAATTAGCTAATGTCAACTTTTTGAATTATCCCCGTATATTAATTCCTAGAGTGACCCTCAATTTTCACACAGAGTTACACAAAAACAGTAAATAGTATTTCAAATCGAATTTTAAGTGTTGAAAATGGGATGCCTTGTAGAGCACTTGCCTAATTTGTTGTCACTTATAGGCTATCTTCAGAATAAATACAATTGGATTAATTTTAAACCTTTGATATTATTGCACTACCGATGGCACAACCCAAATTTGGGTAGTTCCACAACTTTGAATGTGTAATATTGTAATATTATGAAGATAAAAACGATTTTTCATAGATTGTTTTAGGCGGAATTCATTGGTTTTCATAAAATTTTCTTTATTCTACCATTTCTGAGTTACAACCCAAAGAAACATTTTTTGTACATTTATATCCTGCTAATCGTGCTCTTAGCAAATTTATGTTTTGCTAAATTTACAATAAAATTAAAACAAACTTTGCAAAACGCATTTCATATACAATGGTGGACTAAACAATTGCTTAAATATTTCTATCAAGTGCACTGTACAAGTGATAGCATTATCTGTTGCTGACGCCTACTAAACTGTTGACGGAAAGCATATCTTGAAATAGATCTTCGAACAAGAATGCACTTTTTAAATACTGAACTCTGCAAAGTCTTATCTTGAAAGCTTGGATTTCCTCGACACTGCCCAGTGACTGTTTTTTAATTGGACACACAAATAATCACGTAATGTGTACTTTCAACGCCAAAAAATATCTGACAGCGCTGCTATATAGCTCAAACGTACTATTTCCCTCTAAAATATCTTCGAACCACCCAGCGATGCCGCTTTTGCATAAACGAGCCAACAACCTTGCTTCATTCAATTTATTTTGATTCAGTCAACTTTTACACAATTTATTTTCATTCCTCACTTTTCTCATTATTATTCTTATTATTGTCAGCGTCGTAATATATTTTTAATTATTAATCGTTTTTAAAGAACAAAATTTAAACTTCAAAATGCGTATTGTCTCATGGGGCCAGTGCCAACGACTAGTACATTCAGTCGCAATTGCTTTATTTAACTCAGCGTTCGATACGGCGTGTCCATATCAACAAATGGAAAAAAGCACTTTAGGAATTAAGTAAACAAGATTATACTGACCGATAACGCTGACTTCGCCGCTACGTCTGGCGCTGTGGCCCTGCTTGTTCCTCGCCCAACAAGTGTACACCCCCGAATCTTCTTTCTTCTGTACCGGATTGATGATCAGGGTACCGTCTGGTAGCACTTTTTGTCTCAATCCGTTGGGCAGCTCGCTACCGCTCCGTTCCCAATGGATTTCCTCTATGGGATACCCCGCCACCGGACACTTAAGTTTGAGCTCCTCTCCGGCGACCGCTGTCACTTTGGGAATGAGTCGTATGTAGGGAAGGCCTGCAATTAAAACACTTTCGAGTGAGGTTTGGTAAACATGACGAAACTTAAAGTTGAAGCATACTAATGAAACCAAAGGAAATTAGGCACTTATTTGAGTCAAATTACTATTCAGAGTCAACGAATGTCCTCACTGACAGTCTCTTTTATATTTACAAAAAAACTGAAAAAATTTAGATTCGATTTTTTGGAATTCGATCAAGTACTATTGCATCAGTTTCCGTATTCATACAGTTCTGACAGGTAAACAAAAATATCGGTAGATGAGTAGTATAGTAGAGCCGGTTCTGAGTCAGATTTGGAGGAAACATTTGAATTTGTTCGGATCAGAGAGTGCCTAGGAACTTTTGTATTAGAATTAGCATTAGAAATAGTTGGTTAGGCTTAGCTAAGCGTTTGCGTTGAATTGTTGCTCGTATTCTGCGACACGGGTTACAAAACGACACGAGTCACGATTCATGGTTGTTGTATTTTTTTCTGAAAGTATGCTTAGTTTGCTTGTATCTTAAGGAAATAGTTTGTAAAAATTAATCCATTATTATTTCGTTTATCATACGACAATCCCTACTGGGTAATCTTAATTTCTAGTTGTTTCCAACCATGCACTTGCAGTCATGTACATTTTAAGTGTTACTTTATGTTTCACTGCTTGGGTTGATAGCAGATTTGTATCTTACAGTCAAACTGGAAGCTTATCTATAAATCTTGAAAAATTTCAAATCATAAAAAGTAGAGGCCAGCGTTGCGAACTTTCGCATGCCATATTGATAGCAAATCGAACCCTACTCAACCAAAAAGTGGTATCCTGCAGCTTCAATCCCAGATCTAACACCGGTCGTTTTCCCCCACAGCAATTATGTAGTAAAAACGTTTATATTATGGTGGTTGGAGGTGGGGTGGGGACGAGTTCAGGGGTCAATATCAACCGAGGGGTTTTACGGCCCCCCGAATCGAGCGACGCGGTTCGTAATTGGACGAAAATCATTCGACCGAATGTATTTGGCGACAGAGGGCACGCCTAATTGCCTTCAGGATTAATGCCCTTTTTACGGTTCATAAGTCACGAATTAGTCGTAAAAATGTTTTACGGCTTTTGTCGTTTATCTATGCGGCGTCAAAAAGACGCGTTATAGTCAACCATACAACACCCTTTTTGATTTCTGATTATTAATAGGTTGATACTTTGTCAACATCTTTTATTTTCTCAGGCCATCAATGTACTCCTCTTATTTAAGTACCACATAATAAGACTGCCTACGTGACCCAGACGGTAGACAACCAAATATATCAAGTGATGACAGAAGGAGTTCTGCGATTGCTACATATGTTTTAATTTAGCTTTAATGCAGAAATTTTATATTATGTCGATGCACATGTACCTTTTTGGCAATGTTAGACACTACAGGAACCAACACTTTCAAAATGGCGCTTTAAAAACCAATTTTTAATGCGCATGCTCAGCAAGGTGCGATTGGTCATATTGCCATTACCATGTATTGTTTGCTTAAAATTTTAACCACAATTTTTATGACTGATGAGCAGCTTTATTTACATTTATTTTTTTATTACACATTTATGTATTGAAGGTCAGAAAACTTGTTGACAAAATGAAAAAAACTTTCGAAACTACATTTAATGTTTCAAATAATAGGTCATTTTCTTTTGAATATTTTTAGTTGTGTTTTCAGCATTTCTTCGAGAGGGTCATCTTTCCCATGATACATAACAAATTTCTCTAGCAGCTTAACTGAACATAGCGCTGGTGGTGGTCCCAGATCAACTTCTTCATCTTATTTTTCCTCTTGGTGCTCTTCCTCACCCTTTCTCGCTCGTTTTAATAGGGCTTCCTCTGTCAAGTCTGCTGTTGTAGGCAAATCGTGATCTATCACCACAAAATCTTGCAACTCCTTACTTGTAAACGTAATTGTTGTTTGAAACTGCTTTATCCGCTCGCTTAGTGACTGATGATCTTCCAAGTCCTGTTCGCATTCTATCTCGACGATAGAAGTATTGAATTGTTTCTGCTGCCACCTCTTTCCGAGATTTACTAATAAAGTTGACTGCATCTAGCATATTAATGGGAAATTTGTCTTTTGACTCGATCATTTCCATTAAAACGTTTTCCTGCATCGACTCTTAAGGCTGGAAGAAGTGGCAATTCAATATTCCGCACATTTGGAATATCGGGATGCGCAGGGCAGTTATCTAAGAGAAGTAATATTTTCCTCCCCGCATCCCATTTCCGTATCTCCTCTTCAAAAATTTGGATGTCATCCATGAAGAAATGTTTGCCTTGTAAGTGACCGGCAAATGCTTGATGTTCTTAAAACATCGTGGGTTCGTTGATTTTCCAATCACGACTAGCTTTCTTTTTTCTCTCCCACTCGTATTGGCAGTTACTAACACTGTTATACGTTCTTTAGAAAGTTTTCCACCCACACACTTTTTGCTTCGAAATTTGAGACTTTTATCTGGCGTCATTTTGAAAAAAATACCAGTTTCGTCAGCATTAAAAATGTCGTCAGCAGGGTACTTTTCTGCTAGTTTTGGCCACGTCTTCTCCAGTGACGTTTCTGTCGACATAACGGACTTCGCCACTTAACTGTCCATAATTTATATTATGTCCTTGTTTGAACCTCCCCAGTCATCCTTCCGAAGCCTTGAAATCGATAATGCCAAGCTGTTCAGCAAACTTTTCTGCTTTTAGTTTTACGATACGTCCAGAGAGTGAATTGTTAGTAAGTTGCTGTTGGAACCACTGCTACATTGCCAGATCCAAATCTTAAAATTTTGGCTTTCTTAGTTTTTTAGTAGAACTGCCTGCCGCTTCAGCCCGAATGATTTTTTCTTTGCACTTCCAAATCGTGGATACCGTCAAAGGTGTAAGTCCGTATCGACGTCCCACATCACTTTTCTTTTCTCATTAACATTAACATGATCGTTTATTACAACAAAAACACTTAGAACGACCAGGTTCTCGGTAATTAGATTATCACGGAATTCTGAGAAGGTAAGAGGCTCTATTAATTACAAGTCGGCCTACATTCCTTACTTTGATACCTGATGTGGCCTTTTTTCTTTAGGTATAGAGAGTGAGAAACTCGTTATACAGAGTGAATTAATAAATAGCTTTGTATGGAGACCTAGTAGTACAAAAATTTTTGTTCTTAATACAGAGTTTTACGTATACAGAGTTTCGCTATAGGGAGTTTTCACTGTATCTGTTTTTATCACCCACTGAGGGATAAAGGGTGCTACGTTAAATATTCACTAAGTTCTAAACAAATTAAACGTATACGAGTTAGGTTAAATTACTATATTGTGCTGATTCTGTTGACTTTAACGGAAAAAGCATTGAACGTCGCATTTCCAATGTATTAAACAAAATCAACTATAAATTCATGATCTTATAACTAAGACAAAAGTAGTAACTCAAACATATTTAGATCTGAACAAACAAAAAGTGACGTCTTTTGACCTGTTATTTGGTCAGAACACATAATAGTGATTTAAATAGTGGAATTCCGAAGAATCATCCACTCCACTGAGCAGGTCAATGAACCTCATATCAAACGTTTTCAGGTTTTCTATAAATGTTACAGCCTAATTTGAGAAATTGTTAATTTCAAAATTCGCCCTATCAAATTTCGTCCCCTTGCGTCCTTTTTAGTAATACTTGTCTCCCCTGAAGCTCTAGGTTTAGTAATCAGACAGCGTGTATATTAAAAGCAAAATATAAAGAATAAAGAGCGATGTTAAAATTTACTGACCGTAAACGTTTAGCCTTGCCGAATGCGAACTTTTTCCCGCCCTGTTTTCGGCAGTGCAAGTGTATTCGCCGCCATCTTCTACCATTACGTGACTGATATTCACGTGACTGATGACGTCTCCATGAACTGTGACGTATTGCCCGATTACGAATCTGGAATAAAAAAATCACTATACTTAGTTAACAAATTATTCGTTAGTAGTATAGCAAAGCTGGTTCTAAGTCACTTTTTGCGGCAAAATTTTCGAGTTGGTTCATTGCTCATAACTATTCTTTTGACTTCACTGTGTTGTGTTAGTCCGATTTCTTCTCCCTTCCATAAATAAGAAAGTCTTATTAGTGCTTGGATGTGTCTTAAATAATTCATTTTATATTTGCAACTGGAGCAACAGCAACACAACAAACGATATCTTTCTTGAATAACCTTAATGACTATTTATTCTTGACAATAACTCAAAATTGGCGAGAAAAACAACATTCAGGAAAAAAATGTTATATATAATTTCGTAAGTTGTATTTATTGGTTTATCATGTCCGTGTATCTGATAAATATTTATAAGCATTTTTTCCTCATTTCAAACAGATTTATTACACTGCCCTACTACATGTAATTACTAAATCAAACATTTGCCGAGCTATGTTTTATTTTCATATTGACTTGTTTCATTTCTTTTTGGATCCGGAAATGTAAATAAAAATAGATAATTATTTTAAATGATTGAATTAAATTTTATATAGTCAAAAGCTTAGAGTCTTGTGATCCATAGCCCACCACTTCCTAATTAGTTCTACGTCGACTATGTTTTTGAAAAATCTTCTCTGGAATATCCAACCCAAGTTTCGAATTAATAAAACAAATTGCTCGAAGCGTTACCACGCGGAGCCTCTTCATACACCTAACGAGGAAATATCGCCCGTTGTCCGGAAAACAAACTGAAACATATGACGGTGGCGGTTCGCTAGACCTTGAAGATTTTCCCTTTTGTGTAAAGTATAATGAAGATAAGTCTTAGCACATAACGTGGAGGTGATTTTGGTGTTGTTAATTTCGTTGTGTGGATCCCCGGACCATTCGTTACGTTTAGCTGCCGGAGGAAAACAGAAACGGAACCACTGTTTAGTTTATTTTTATTAGCAGAGAGCAAATGAAATGTATACATAAACAAAGACATTATTTACAAACTAGAAAGTTCATATTTGATTGTCGCCATTGTACATCATATTTTACAAACACATTTTACTCATAAAATCCGTCACGGACAAATCTCAGTTAAAGGCGTGAGAGAGAATCCGCTTCGAACGCTTTAATTATGGGGCGGATAGGGGCTGGGGCGGACCTCGTTCATTTTCTAGTTCATTTGAGACGGGTTATGAGTTTTCGAACTAACGTCGACGCTCCCAATACTCGCAGACGGTCTCGACCGTTACGGCAAATCAATTAGAAGTTTGTGCTTGGCTTTCGGCTGAACGTAATTCGTAAAGTAACTATCAATCGGCTCTCAGGACTGTAAGCAAGGAGACGGTTCTTGTTCCGGCGTTTCCCGCCCTTGTAATAATTGATATATTATGTGTCAGAAATTGCAGTGTCCAGTAAATCCAAATATATTTTATTAATGTTTGGTTAGTTTTGGTTAGTTAGTAGTGGGGACAAATATAAATAAGAATCCATGACATTTTCATACAAATTTATTGAAAGGGATTTTTAACGATTCAATAGTAGGGTAGACTGGGTACGGTTGTAACAATTTTCACATAATAGCCCTTGACACAGACGCTATGGCTTTAAACTACGATTAAAGAATTTTTCATAGAAGCTTTGTCATTTACCTTGAAACCAAAATCAACATAAGGTGCATACGTAAAATAGTTATACCGTAATTAATCATTTTGTAAAGTGTGTACGACTGTTACAATAGACCCCATGCCAGGGGCGGTTGTAACAGTGATGGGGCAATTGCAACATACAGAAAGAATACACAATTTGAGTATTTAAGCCAGTTTTAATACTCAAACAATCACTTGAATTATTAATATTCAACAAACCATATATTTGTTATGAAAATAAGAAGAAGTTAAGTTTGTTCCTTAAACTTAATCAGACTCATTGCTTAGATTTTTTTTAGAAATAAACGTAGTTAAATCTCAGAAATAAACAAAATATTTTCCTATGGTTCTATTTAGAATAACTAAACCAACCAACAATACTCGTAGTGAGAAAAACCTGAATTCAAAACTAAAGTCATCAAAAATATTTTTTCTTAATCGTAATCAGATTTACTGCAGTTATGTCATATGTAATATCTATTCCCATCCGTACAAGCTTCGTAAGACTATAATGTACATCCGCCTTGACATTGTATAAAGCTCTCTCGAGATCGACTTGATGAATATGATTCTAGACAAACAAGAAAATAATTTTCTTCATCTAATGATGAACTAGGTGGTGTAATGGTCTTCTTTTTCTTCCCTTTATCTTTACCTTTCTACTTTTCTATATTCTCCTTTATATTGGATTTTTTTCAACTGTTTCTGTCGTTCTTCGTATTCTTTTCTTACTGCTTCCAGGAGTATCTGTGTTTTTCTATCTCTTGTTCCTAATTTCCTAGGAGGAGCTTTTGGGAAAGGCCGTAATGCTTCAGGCGAGAATAAAGATTGTTTACTTGCGGACGGAATTGCTTCTAATTCCGTACAAAAAGCAGCAGCACGAGAAGAAACGCTTGGTTTCAGATTTGCTGCTTGCATCGCAATATTTTGAGAAGACACTGGTGATTGAGTGTTAGAAATTGCTCTATTTTCAGGTTCAGATGGACGCATTGTGTGATTATGATTAGAAGCGGCAATTTATCCTGTATCATTTGGCTCTGGCCTGTCTGTCACGAATGATGGTGCTAAATCAATTGCGTGGTTGAATGGGAAGATCCCTGTCTTTCGAAACCGTGCCTGAATATTAGCCTAAGGTCTGTTATGATGCTCGGTGTGTCATAAATCGTCATGGTTTTACCTGGATGATTTCGCATCCAGGCATCACAGGCAGTGCATATTGCTTTTTTGAAAGGCCCATAACCAGAACTATTCAATGGCTGTAATTCGTGCAGTGGGCGGATATATATATATATATATATATATATATATATATATATATATATATATATATATATATATATATATATATATATATATATATATATATATATATATATATATATATATATATATATATATATATATATATATATATATATATATATATATATATATATATATATATATATATATATATATATATATATATATATATATATATATATATATATATATATATATATATATATATATATATATATTCTCACGTATTGATTCACGGATGGAAAAATGTGATGACACTATATTCCGGGATATCATCCGTTCGCTCGTTGAACTCCGACTGGAATCCTGCATCCGACTGGACAGGATTCCAGTCGGATGCAAGATTTGCAGGATTCCAGTCGGAGTTCAACGAGCGAATATATATATATATATATATATATATATATATATATATATATATATATATATATATATATATATATATATATATATATATATATATATATATATATATATATATATATATATATATATATATATCATCCTCCAAATCCGATGATCGACATTTGGCTATGGTAGATCGTCTCATGATAATCATACCTTTTGACGTAGTCGTTGTATATCCTATATAAGATGTTGCAACCAAATTGCAGCGGTAGATGATCTGCCATTGTCTAGTTGAAAAATTGGATTTTGCATTTGCTGAAAGTGCAAAGACAAAGTGCAAGTGCAAGACAAGTTGCAAAATATCATGATGTTTTTGTTAAAAAATTAGAGGTAACCTTCTTCCAACTATTATGGCACTCAAAACCATAACACCCATTTTAAGCTAAATGAAAAATTGAGGTTTTCTATTTATTTCACATCACGTAGCTGTTAATGGCCAGCCCAACTGAGGACGAAATTAACACCTAGATCAGAAATCTTAGGAGTCGTTCTTCACTATCCCTGTTTTTCTTTTTTTTTGTATAGACTTTTTCCCGAAATTGTATACCGCTGTAGCATTTCGACCAATTCTATTTTCAAAATTTCTGTTTTTTTTTTTTCAAAACTAAAAATATGCGTGGTTTGTTAGAACGAGTCGAGTATACCATCATAGAATAGTTAGTTCACATTAGTTGAAAGATTTTTACATAAGCTACATTACAGGATCCAGTTGTTTGTATTTGATGATTGCTTCTTTTACATCTGAAAGGTCCATTCATCTTTTCTCAGTCTGAGGACTACTTGATCTCTGCTCTTGTCTTATTTTTGTGGAAGTCACTATTTAATCACGTTCCTAATGCTTTCATCTGCTTTCCCCCCATTCATCTTTTAAATTTTATGTTCTTTTGTAATTTACACCTGATGTTTTTTGAAATTATGTTGGGAGAATAGCTAATTATCTATTAGCTAAACTTTTTAAATGACGTCTCTACGGTAATAAGGGTCAAACAGGTAAACAAGTTTCAGAAGTTTCGCTGCACATCGACGTACTCTCTCACAGCAATCCATTGTATGCTGCTCGTATACGCAGTTCTAATCGGCTTTGACCCAGAAATCCGACGGTGTTCATTTCATTAAACACCCTAAAAGGTGCACAAGTTGGTTTTCGTAGGTATACGTGTCGTACGTGTCGCTTTGATGCGAATTTCGCGAAAATAAATCCGGGCTGCCGGACGAAATGAAAAAGCTCCGGCACTGCTGTTTATGTTTTTCCAGTCGCGGTACATAAATTTTATACTCGGGAAACTCGCGAGAAGGATTTTTCCCTACTTTCGACCGAATGCGCGAAAGAGATAATGTTCCCGGAGTTTCCGGGAGAAAATGTTATGGTTGGCTTCCGGCGAAAATCGCTATTTAACTATTTTACATTTTCGCTGTAACTCTTTTGTTATTTTCTCTTTCGGGGTGGAGTGATGACGTTTTTAGGTTCAAAAGGACGTCAAGTTTGAGGGAAAAATTTTCCTCGTTACTGTGAGTTTATTTTTGTTTAGCATTATTTTTAGGAAAGTGACATAAACAAATCTTCACCTCACACAAAGTCAAGTTGGCTATGAACATCTAACTATTATATATTTCGGAAG